ATTATGGTAAGGGGCGTTACATTTCTGACGCGTGCTTGTGGTGTTCGGCCAATCACAATGCACTGGGTCAGCTGGCCAATCAGAGCGGACTGCGCTTGTCAAAGGAGGGGGCTTTGTAGAAAACGAAGCGTTTGAGAGAGGCGGGGCATAGAGGACCTACAATAATGTACAGTATTTGAAAAATAATGTGTTTTTTGAACATTAAATCATGTCAACATATTCTGTTACACCAAATACACAAAATAATGATCTTTAAAAAAGCATCATATGACCCCTTTAAAAAATAAATAAATAAATGTGTGCCATTCTTATACTGTGAGACTGATGAGGTGATGAGTCCGGGCAAAGGATTATGGGGAATGTAGTCTGTGAGAACAGTCTGGAGGGGAGTGCCCTCTTGTGGAGCTCATGGGCACTCCAGCTGGTGATCATAATAGGTAGTCTAGAAAAAACTTTTAATATCCCATCTTCTACCTTCTTGAATACATTTCCTACAGCATGCTCTAAATAGTGACGCAATTGGAGGCATCTTTAAAAGTCTTGGTTCTCTAGCCCATGATTTCCTTTAAGCATCTGAAAGCTCTTAAATTTCCCCTTGTTCATAAATGTCCAATAGGCAGTTAAGTATCATGACGTTTCATCCTGCAGGTTCTGGATCTCTCATCTTCTCTCTGTTCTCTCCTTCTGCTTTCATTTCTGGTAGACATGATGTGAGATTAACGATAAATATTTCAGATTCTGCATGAAGTAGATTAATCGCATTAAAAAAGTGACATTGATCACGTAACTCAAGATCTTCAGACTGCACAGGATAACACGGATCAGGTTTTGTAAAAGACACAGCAACACACTATTTTTCGTTAATTGTTTTTAATGATCAAAACAAACTTAAATTAACCAGGGCTGTTAACTAATTGATTAAATTAATAATAACAAGCAGGCGTCAGAAACAGAAAGCTGCGCAGTGCTGCTTTGTATTCATCTGTTTCAGTCATGTGACGCCGACGGGAAAAAGTATAGAAGCCTGTTTCAACCATAGTTGAGTAAATAATAGTAGATCAATTCGCATCGATTCACGATTCACTCTAGTTAATTATAATAATAATAATATGATGTTGTCGAACAAAAAAGATGGAACTCAACTGCGAGAGCAGTGCAGCACCCGGACAGTTCAGGGATCGCACACATCACAAATAATATTATTATTAATTATTGATCTCTTTGGTTAAATGAAGCCTCGTGAAACACTGAGACTTTCCTCTGACTGTTTCGGGAAAAGATTCAATGCTTCGAGAGTATCAGAAACAGAGCTATCTGGTGGCAAGTAAAAAATAAAGCAGCCAAAAGCCAATGAAAGAAGCTCCGTCGTACGAATTAATTCATGTTACAAATAAAAACCTAACAGTGTGTGTTTGTGTTTATTGAATTTCTCTCTTTGATAAATTCATTTACCCATTAAACGGTGGCATGTAATGACAGTACGAATATAAGTGTGATGTAACAGAAGAATATTGGGTCCCACTTTATAATACGTGGCCTTAACTACTATGTACTTGCATCAAAAATTATTTTTACAAAGTACAATGTACTTTGTCACAAACCCGGTCCATAAACTTCCGTCTGCTTGCCACCAGAGGTCGCCCTCCCATTATATTGACTCTCTCACCACACAGACTGTTACACATCACCCTGGACTACATTTCCCATACTCCATTGCACTAATCACAAGCTCACCTGAAACCAATCACACACAGCTGCATCCAATGAGACATGCTTTATAAGCCATGGACTTCCTCTCTCTCACTGCCGAGTGTTGTTCAGCATTTATCGCTCACCTAGGGATAGCTACTTTACGGAGCCCTTCTGGATTTACCCTTAGCCTTGCTGATTCGGACTGTGCTTGCACCTCGATTGGATTATTGCTTGTTTTGGATTCCTCTTTTGTCTTGCCCTCTACATATCTGTTTGCTGGTGTCCGACTCTTGCCTGTGTTGACCATGCCTGTAAATAAAAGCTTGCATGCCTCTCGTCTCTTCGGCTCCGTTACATACTTATTGTGTTCATGTTGTATAGCAAAACACTTCTGCTGCTATTGAGGTGTGATACGGGTAGGTTAGGGACAGGTTTGGTGGTATGGGTAGGTTTAAGGGTGGGTTAAGGTGTAAGGGATGGGTCAACCGTGTAACTACAAATGTAATTACAGATGTAATACGTGCAGGTATTTTAAAAATATAAGTACACAAATGAATGTACACAATAAATGCATTGTATCAAATGATTAATTAAAAAGTACATAGTAGTTAAGGCCACCTAATATAAAGAGGGACCAAATATTGTACAGAATATGAATTGCATATGGCAAATATTTTATTTTTCAGAAATATTTTGCATTCTTCATATTACTTGTATGACTGGGTAGGCCAATTTTAAAGTCTGAATGAAGCTAGAATAAAACAGATTTTTTATTTGTTTAAAACTCTACAGACTTCGGTCTTTATTTTGATGTATTGCATGTTCAGATATTCATACAACAAAATATTCTGGGGGCAATGAAACTTTAAATGCTCAAAAATGCTGGCGTTGGCCGGTAACATTTTTTAAAACGCTAATTACAACTCAATACTTAATAACGATGTGAGACTTTTGAAGCAGATACCAAGCCTCCAACAAAATGGCCTGTCGATCGTCACAGCTCTTCCACAGAAGACACCTTGTTTCTCAGCACATGAACATGAACTACTGACCGTGATCTCAGACTGTGGTGATCTGGTTTCTCCACTGCATGCATCCTCGTGTGTAGCTTCAGCTGACTTTTAAAAGTGAAACTCTTCCCGCACTGATCACACGTGTGTGGCTTCTCTCTGCTGTGGATCCTCTCATGTGCTTTCAGATTTCCTAACTGACTGAATGTCTTGTCACAGTGTGAACACTTGTAAGGTTTCTCTCCAGTGTGGATCCTCTCGTGCTGTTTTAAACAGCTCGCTGAAATAAAAGTTTTCCCACACTCAAAGCACATGTACTCTCTCACACCAGCATGTATTTTCTGATGTACTTTTAAACTTTTCAGCAGTGAAAAACTCTTTGCACACACAGAACATGAATGCGGCTTCTCCTTCGTATGAACTGTCAGGTGTTCCTTCAGGTTTGATGACTGAAGAAATGTTTTGCCGCACTGATCGCATGCATACGGCTTCTCTCCGGTGTGGATCCTCATGTGATATTTAAGGTGTACTTTTTGTGTGAAGCTCTTCCCGCAGTCATCACAAATGAATGGTTTCTCTCCAGAGTGAACTCTCATGTGACGCTCAAGACTTCGCTTGAATGGGAAACTCTTCCCACACTGAGTGCAGGTGAAAGATTTCTCGGCTCTTCTTTTCTTTAAAAATATATTTTTAGTCTTCGAGCGACCCGAGGTTTTTTCTCCAGGTTTATCATGATGTTTTTCCTCCACTTCACTCAGTTCTTCACTCTCCTCGCTCTCTTCCATCAGCTCTGAAATAAAAGAAAAAAAGTTCAATTTTAGTAAATAAAAAAATAATTCAAAGCTAGAAATATGAAAGTCGGCACTAATGTAATAGCGGAAAGTAGACGACTGCTATAAAATATTATGATAATTCTGGTGCATTTTATAAATTAATTGAACGATCAGATGCAAAACATTATAGGCACAAAATCCCATGTTTCTGTAGAGAGAACTATTAAATACAGTGCCCTCCATAAGTATCTGGACAGTAAAGACAGTGATGAAATAAGAATAATAAACTAATTACAAGCAATAGGACAAAAAACTACACTAAGAAATGCTACATACGTTGTATAAATTAATCAAAACACTGCACATTCTTCACTGTGTAAATTAATATATATTATAATAGTAAGTAATATATATAGCTGTTGTTTGCATTTCAACGACATTAAACTGACTTGTTTTTAAACTGCAATGCTTAAAAATGTGTGCAAACGATAAATTTTCTCGACCATATAGCAGTTATGAACACAAGGCACAGCAAAGTGACTTTAACGCATAACTGCAATAAAGACTATAGTTCAAAATCTCTACTGGTTGTCAGATAGATATCTACCGTTTAATCATGTCTTCCAGTATATCTGAAATGCGTAAATGTTCTAATCGCAATTCTGTAAAGTTTGGTGTTTACTGTTTAATGCTGAAAGAAATGGCAAAAATCACAATATTGTTAGCTATATTGAGAAATGTCCAACATTCTGGTAACCTGGATGCAGAAACTTGAAAACCAGATATAATATAAATGTAAAGTAAAACAAACTGAAGTAATTGTCTGATTTTGACACTCGATATGAAAGTTTCTCAAACCTTGCTTTACTGACCATTTGTTGAAAACTAAAAACGAAACTATAAGATGAGTACAAACTGTTTATCTTTCTAACATGAATGTTCTTCAGCATCGTGAATGAAGAATAAACACCAACCTGTTAGTTCCTCAGTATCTTCAGTGTGTTTGATTCTGCAGGGCTCTGGATCTCTCATCTTCTCTCTGTCCTCTTTAATAAACCCAGTCTTTGATCAGATCTCAGCTCTTCCTGATGCTCTGATGCTCGTCTGCACTTCTGAACTGATGGAGATATTCCAGCATTTATTGCTGAACAACAGTGGGAGTTCTTCAGCATCGTGAATGAAGAATAAACACCAACCTGTTAGTTCCTCAGTATCTTCAGTGTGTTTGATTCTGCAGGGCTCTGGATCTCTCATCTTCTCTCTGTCCTCTTTAATAAACCCAGTCTTTGATCAGATCTCAGCTCTTCCTGATGCTCTGATCCTCGTCTGCACTTCTGAACTGATGAGAATCTTCCAGCATTTATTGCTGAACAGTGGGAGGAGCTTCACTAATGATGAGTTCCAGTGTGGGAGGAGCTTCACTGGTGATGGGAGGAGCTTCACTGATGATGAGTTCCAGTGTGGGAGGAGCTTCACTGGTGATGGGAGGAGCTTCACTGTTGATCAGTTCATTTTTATACTAATGGATAACAGAATATAAATAATGTAGTGGTAATTCTTCCAGATAAAAATAATGGTAAGAAAAACAGTTGAAAGCATAAAAATATAAATACATGTAGATATCTGTAAGCAACAAATCCCTTCTGTCTGTTGACACCAATGTAACGAGCTTAAAGTGGCGATTTACAGGAGATCTGAAGACATCAGCATAATACATGAGGTGAAAACAGGACTATTGGACATGAAATATGAATTCCAGAGTGGGAGGAGCTTCACTGATGATGCATTCCAGTGTGGGAGGAGCTTCACTGATGATGAATTCCAGTGTGGGAGGAGCTTCACTGATGATGAGTTCCAGTGTGGGAGGAGCTGACTGGCCAAAATCAAAGTATATCACTTACTGAGTTTGTTATTATAGGGTCAAAGACCAGATGTCAAATTTTAGTGTCTGCAACAAATTAAATTGACCAAAGGGATATATATTCATAGAAAACCCATTAAGTGCAAATGTGTGTATAGTTATTTTGTAGTCATTAGTTATATGAGATAGTTATAGTTATTCTGACCTGTACTTAATAAAATACTGTATATAAAAGAATAAGAGATCATACTTAATTTTATTAGGCTATTTTAATTGATTACAAAGTTGTTCTTGCTAACAAATGGGTAAAAGCTAGTGTTTCGAAGGAAAGTATCAAAGTATAGAGATTTAAATGGAGAATTAATGAGTAATTTTGGGCTGCACTGTGATCCTTAAACACAGTGTCTGAACATGTCATCAAATGATTCTTGTTCTAAATATGCCTGAAAAGTTTTTTTTTGCTATATAAACCCATTTTTGTCTTTGACTCGTTTACTAATTAACAAATGTAAGCATTTATTTCTGTGTATCATAAAACAACTGATGCTAATTCACAATGTTTTCTAATTCTAACATTATTCTGTTTCTTCATTAAAATAAAGGTAGATATCTAGAAAAGAACTGTGAGGAAAGCATTGGGAAGCATAAGACAGAAATAAATGTAGATATCTGTAAGCAACAAATCCCTTCTGTCTGTTGACACCAATGTAACGAGCTTAAAGTGGCGATTTACAGGAGATCTGAAGACATCAGCTTAATACATGAGGTGAAAACAGGACTATTGTCATGAAATACAGAGTGTTTTCAGCAGCTGTTAATATTGATGAGCCTCAATCAACACTCATTCAACAAGACATTCAGGATCATCAGCTTGTGTTTGTGCGCATTCTGCATTCAGAATCAGTCTGAATGAACAATGGCTTTAATGGGAAAACTGATTTTAAGTAAACAACTCACACACTTAAATATAACCACTTTGTTACATCCAAAAAAAAGAAGACATGAAACTATGATCTGTGGGAGTTTTTAATGAGTAATCAGTTTGAAATCTAAAGTGAATCTCTGTGTCTGTGACCCATTTTTACAAGGCTTCGATGTCTGATGATCAGAAAACACAAAGTTACCAATTAAAAAGAATAGTTGAACAGCACTGTCAGGGTCTCCCTGCTCAGCCGAACACCATTAAAAACCTGTCCAGCGCTGCTACATTCAGCTTTATCCTGCAGTACAGGGCTCTGCTCTGATTTAGGGAAAGAAGGAAAGGAGAAACTGTTTAGAGCTATGACAACGTAATTAGTAGAAGAAATATTGAGGTACTTTAGTAAACTACTTTTAGTAACTACTAATACCACATTGGGGAAAAACTACTGGTCATATTCATACAGTCCACCTCTGATTGTTTTGAAAATGAAAGTATCAACATTTTGTCAGAATATTAACACATTGTTGCTAATTATATCAAAGTCTGCATCTGAAGGACTCGGACGGTCAAACAGAGCGCTGTGACAGCTGCCGCTGAACACTGAGCTGTACTATGCCCTATTTTATTATTCAGTTTTATGTTTATGCTTAACTGCCTAAAATTTCCGGGTTGCAAACCTGTCTACATATGATCACCATGGTCAACACAATAAACTATATAAAATCGCACCTTTGTAAGACATCAGTCAGCATTTGAACTGCTATGTTTGTATTTTGTAGTTTTGAATGTGTTTATGAATGGATTTGGATGGAACTCCATGATCTCTCTTTGTTTCATCCACTGCTGCTGCGTCCAGAGGTCCTAAGGAATTTTTATGGCGGTCACAGGCCAAAACCTTAGGAATCAGTCTGTTGGTGGGTGAAGGACCAATGAGAAGGCCCGTCATTCCCGGGCTTTGTAACAAAGGTCTTCTTCTTGCCCTCTAAGAGGTGTCTGGCTGTTGTCCTGGCATCTTTATCTGATGGCGTTGGACAGTTTGCTTATGTTAGTCCACCAAGATCCAATCAAAATGTAGCAAACCTTTGTCCACTATACTGGTCAGAGAGGGGCCCCGCCATAAACTGGGCCCTGGAATGTGCGGTCCACTACACCATTCTGAATACTACTGCTTAATGTGATCATTAGATGTGCAAAAGTAAAAATTCCACACACAATCATCATATTAAATAAAGTTAACAGAGACCCCGCATACCTGTCTTTATATCTAGCATCCAGTAGTGTTGCAACTGAGTATAGTGGCTCAGATTCTACATCTCTGAAACGTCTGTTAACAGCTTCAAGGAGGGTGTCTTTCATGGTTTTAATTCCCTCGTCAGCCTCGTTTTCTCGTGTGAGAGCACATTTAAGGACAGTGACGATCAGCTGCTACCTCTCTTGTCAGCTCCTCAAATGGGGCTAGAACTGCAATGGTTTTTTCCAGTAGCCCCCACTGGTTTGCAGTCAATATTTATTTATTTTTATTTAGTTTCTCATTTGAAAAGTAGCTCCCCACACAAAAAACTGCCTTAAACTGTGAACAACAGCGAAGTGTTTTTAAGTCTATAGGTGTCATTATTCTCATCACATTTTTTAAGGAAACTTATTAGAATCCTAACCCGAAAGGCAGATTCAAAAACTAGAAATACAGTAGAAATACTGTTTTTATGGGCGTGCAAAACATTTTTTATCCCGGTCTTTTTAGTCAGGAATGCCCACAGTCTTTTAAATCCATTCACAAACCTTGTCTTTTATTATTATTATTCGTTAGGCCTATATTTTTATATTTATTGTTACGTTGGCTATATATGCTTTATTTCCTCCTTCAATTCATGCATCTATTAATGTAGCCTATTCATGTATCTTTAACTGCAATTCAGTTTAGTAACACAGTTGTAAGAAACTCAGAACCAGGTAGAAAAGCAATGTAAATAATTTAGTTGAATGAATATGAATTATCAATATGAATGTCCTTTCACTGACCATTTGTTGGAAAACAAAAATAACGATATCAGGATCCAGGCTGTACCCAGTTCATGGATCCCATATATTGCTTTCTATTTTAACTATTTCACAGCTCATGTGACTTTTCTAATTACAACCACTAAATCTCAACTACAACCAGTAATGAAAGTTTTACGACCTTGATGCTCCAAAAGTTCTTTTTAAGGAAGAATCCCAAACAAACAGCAACCTCTTTGTTCTTGGTGTTCCATCCTGCAGGTTCTGGATCTCTCGTGCTCTGTGTTCTTTCTCGAACTTTATTGTACACGATTCAACGACGTGGAAATGTCCTTTTTTCACTTTAGAAATCAAAACAAAGATACGCATTAGTGTTCCGTCCGTAAACTCTCTCGTCACATTATTATCTGCATACACAGCGAATCACACAAAACACTCGTGATATAAACAAATACAGTATATACAGACCGTATGCCTTTTCGGGGGTGCTTCACAAACTGGTAAACCTTAGAAACATGCTACTGTGACTGACCACGAATTCACATTCATTTCTGTTTTTGAGTCAATCTAACATATTTAAATCCATTTTTTATGCTTACTTTTATTTGCCATATGAACAAACAGACAAAAATATACAAACATACAAATAAACACCACAATTAAAAGAATCCAAATATAAACAATTGTGAGTAAAAAAAGAATAAATTCCGAAATAAATGTTAAAATTTGTAAGCAACATAACAGTTTTTGATCACTGGTTTTTAGATTTTTTACAAGAAACACGGTTACATCTCGCAGATATCATAAGTGGTTTGTTTCCGTCTGTTGACACCAATGTAATGAGCTTTAAGTGTCAGTTTACAGCTGATCTGAAGACTGAAACTGGAGCTATTGAAATGCATTCACACCGAAGGAATGTTTTCATGACTATTGGAGGAAGCATCTGCTTTTTTGGCGTGTTCACACTACAGGAACGGGAATGAGTTTAGCTATAGGAACGCTGTTGTAGGGGACTAAAAAAAAAGAAGAGTAGAGCCAAATCCAGAAGAATAGGAACTACACGTGATGTAAGTGTACACTGATTGGCCGAACGAAACATAGACATGCACCTATTTTAAAAAGCTGTGTACTTATTCCACAAACATGGAAAACTGTGATAAGTGGACCAATGCCAAAGTCCGAGCACTTCTAAACCTCTACGCTAAAGAGGAAACTCAACATGACCTTTGAAGGGATCAAGCGAAGAGCGATACACATTACAAGTTTAAACAAGTAAAACTATGTAGTTTTGTCTTTCTTTATTATACCTGCTGTGAACACATACTTCTGCGGGGAAAAAATGCTGAAGGCTCTTTATAGAAGCTTCACTCCTTG